ATTACTAAAATACACTGTATTTAAGCTAAAAGTACTCTATTTTCGCTGAAAACGCTAAATCATAGAGATAAGGCTAAGTATTTGTGACACTCATATCTTGCTGTGTGTTTATCCGTTTCGAGCGTATTATATCTCGTTGGAAAGATAGATCGGAGCTCTAAAGCTATTGTTCCAACTTAATTTACAATGCAGTAATTAAAAGTTACAGATTAACTATATATTGACAAATGTTTCTGATTTCACTCCGAACTGGTGTAGAATTTGATGCGATCATATCTTGCTCTATTTTGTGCCGTTGAAAGCGTTTAATATCTCGTTAGAAAGATATTATCGAGTTCTAAAACATGTATTCAGGCGCTGGTTTCAAAATATCAAGGGATGATTGCCTAATTACTAAAATACACAGTAGTTACGCTAAAAGTGCTCTATTTTCGCTGAAAACGCTAAATCATAGAGATAAGGCTAAGTATTTGTGACACTCATATCTTGCTGTGTGTTTATCCGTTTGGAGCGTATTATATCTCGTTGAAATGATAGATCGGAGCTCTAAAGCTATTGTTCCAACTTCATTTACAATGCATTAATTAAAAGTTACAGATTAACAATATATTCACAAATGTTTCTGATTTCACTCCGAACTGGTGTAGAATTTGATGCGATCATATCTTGCTCTATTTTGTGCCGTTGAAAGCGTTTAATATCTCGTTAGAAAGATATTATCGAGTTCTAAAACATGTCTTCAGGCGCTGGTTTCAAAATATCAGGGGATGATTGCCTAATTACTAAAAAACAGTAGTTACGCTAAAAGTGCTCTATTTTTGCTGAGAACGCTAAATCATAGAGATAAGGCTAAGTATTTGTGACACTCATATCTTGCTGTGTGTTTATCCGTTTGGAGCATATTATATCTCGTTGGAAAGATAGAGCGGAGATCTAAAGGTAATGTTCCAACTTAATTTACAATGCATTAATTAAAAGTTACAGATTAACCATATATTCACAAATGTTTCGGATTTCACTCTGAACTCGTGTAGAATTTGATGCGATCATATCTTGCTCTATTTTGTGCCGTTGAAAGCGTATAACATCTCGTTGGAAACATCTTACCGAGTTCTAAAACTTGTCTTCAGGCGCTGGTTACAAACTATCAGGGGATGAATGCCAAAGTAATAAAATACACTGTATTTACGCTAAAAGTGCTCTATTTTCGCTGAAAACGCTAAATCATAGTGATAAGGCTAATTATTTGTGACACTCATATCTTGCTGTGTGTTAATCCGTTTGGATCGTATTATATCTCGTTGGAAAGATAGATCGGAGTTCTAAATCTATTGTTCCAACTTCATTTACAATACATTAATTAAAAGTTAAAAATTAACCATATATTCACAAATGTTTCTGATTTCACTCCGAGCTCGTGTAGAATTTGATGCGAACATATCTTGCTCTATTTCTTGCAGTTGAAAGCTTTTAACATCTCGTTGGAACGAGCTTACCGAGTTCTAAAACTTGTCTGCTGGCGCTGGTTTCAAAATATCAAGGGATGATTCCCTAATTACTAAAATACACTGTATTTACGCTAAATGTGCTGTATTTTCGCATAAACGCTAAATCATAGAGATAAGGCTAAGTATTTGTGACACTCATATCTTGCTGTGTGTTTATCCGTTTGGAGGGTATTATATCTCGTTGGAAAGATAGATCGGAGCTCTAAAGCTATTGTTCCAACTTCATTTACAATGCATTAATTAAAAGTTACAGATTAACCATATATTCACAAATGTTTCTGATTTTACTCTGAACTCGTGTAGATTTGATGCAATCATATCTTGCTCTATTTTTTGCCGTTGAAAGCGTTTAATATCTCGTTGGAAAGATCTTACAATGTTCTAAAACTTGTCTTCAGGCGCTGGTTTCAAAATATCAAGGGATGATTGCCTAATTACTAAAATACACTGTATTTACGCTAAACGTGCTCTATTTTCTCTGAAAACGCTAAATCATAGAGATAAGGCTAAGTATTTGTGACACTCATATCTTGCTCTGTGTTTATCCGTTTGTAGCGTATTATATCTCGTTGGAAAGATAGATCTGAGCTCTAAAGCTATTGTTCAAACTTCATTTACAATGCATTAATTAAAAGTTACAGATTAACCATATATTCACAAATAGTTCTGATTTCACTCCGAACTAGTGTAGAATTTGATGTGATCATATCTTGCTCTATTTTGTTCCGTAGAAACCGTTTAATATCTCGTTGGAATGATCTTACCGAGTTCTAAAAGTTGTCTACAGGAGCTGGTTTCAAAATATCAAGGGATGATTGCCTAATTACTAAAATACACTGTATTTACGCTAAAAGTGCCCTATTTTTGCTGAAAACGCTAAATTATAGAGATAAGGCTAAGTATTTGTGACACTCATATCTTGATGTGTGTTTATCCGTTTGGAGCGTATTATATCTCGTTGGATAGATAGATCTGAGATCTAAAGCTATTGTTTAAACTTAATTTACAATGCATTAATTAAAAGTTACAGATTAACCATATATTCACAAATGTTTCTGATTTCACTCCGAACTCGTGTAGAATTTGATGCGATCATATCTTGCTCTATTTTGTGCCGTTGAAAGCGTTTAAAATCTCGTTGGAAACATATTACCGAGTTCTAAAACTTGTCTTCAGGCGCTGGTTTCAAACTATCAGGGGATGATTGCCAAATTACTAAACTACACTGTATTTACGCTAAAAGTCCTCTATTTTCGCTGAAAACGCTAAATCATAGAGATAAGGCTAATTATTTGTGACACTCATATCTTGCTGTGTGTTAATCCGTTTGGAGCGTATTATATCTCGTTGGAACGAGCTTACCGAGTTCTAAAACTTGTCTGCTGGCGCTGGTTTCAAAATATCAAGGGATGATTCCCTAATTACTAAAATACACTATAATTACGCTAAAAGTGCACTATTTTCGCTTAAACGCTAAATCTTAGAGATAAGGCTAAGTATTTGTGACACTCATATCTTGCTGTGTGTTTATCCGTTTGGAGCGTATTATATCTCGTTGGAAAGATAGATCGGAGATCTAAATCTATTGTTCCAACTTCATTTACAATGCATTAATTAAAAGTCACAGATTAACCATATATTCACAAATGTTTCTGATTTCACTCCGAACTGGTGTAGAATTTGATGCGATCATATCTTGCTCTGTTTTGTGCCGTTGAAAGCGTTTAATATCTCGTTAGAAAGATATTATCGAGTTCTAAAAGATGCCTTCAGGCGCTGGTTTCAAAATATCAAGGGGTGATTGCCTAATTACTAAAATACACAGTAGTTACGCTAAAAGTGCTCTATTATCGCTGAAAACGCTAAATCATAGAGATAAGGCTAAGTATTTGTGACACTCATATCTTGCGGTGTGTTTATTCGTTTGGAGCGTATTATATCTCGTTGGAAAGATAGATCGGAGCTCTAAAGCTATTGTTCCAACTTCATTTACAATGCATTAATTAAAAGTTACAGATTAACAATATATTCACAAATGTTTCTGATTTCACTCCGAACTGGTGTAGAATTTGATGCGATCATATCTTGCTCTATTTTGTGCCGTTGAAAGCGTTTAATATCTCGTTAGAAAGATATTATCGAGTTCTAAAACATGTCTTCAGGTGCTGGTTTCAAAATATCAAGGGACGATTGCCTAATTACTAAAAAACAGTAGTTACGCTAAAAGTGCTCTATTTTCTCTGAAAACGCTAAATCATAGAGATAAGGCTAAGTATTTGTGACACTCATATCTTGCTGTGTGTTTATCCGTTTGGAGCATATTATATCTCGTTGGAAAGATAGATCGGAGCTCTAAAGGTAATGTTCCAACTTAATTTACAATGCATTAATTAAAAGTTACAGATTAACCATATATTCACAAATGTTTCTGATTTCACGCGCAGAGGACTGTTCATTAGATTTTGAGAACGACTTCTTGTTCGGTTTTTCTTTTTCAAATTCTGCTAGCTGTGTGTAGATTTCAATTTGTGTCCCTGGTGTTTATCTACTTTGGACGAACCTAGGGACCTGTTTTGCTTGAGATAAGAAGGCCAGACGGCTACCCTCAACTGGCGTCGGTTTTATTGTTCATTTCTTGGTTAAATTGGAGACCTTGAAATGGTACGAACTAAACAGGGACCAGGGGCTAATTCTTCGACTCGTACCACTCGAGCTTCCTCCAGATTCTTTGTATTGGAAGGGTGGGATGAGGAATTCCCTTCCTTGAACGCTGCAAAGCCAATGAAGCTGGCAAAGAATTCTGGCATAGCTACCGCTGTTATGCAACCTACTGGGAGTGGACTGCCTGGGCAGATAATGACCTCAGCTGCAGGGATGATAGAGGCTCCACAGCTAGATGGTGCATTGCTTGAAGGCAGTGAATCTCCTGGGAACAAGGTGAAACATGCTGAAGGGGTGATTTCTGCTGTCACCCAGTCTACACAACACCAAACTATAGGTATTAAACCAAATGAAGCTACTTCCCCTACTGGAGCTGTGGATGATACCAATGAACCCAAGAGGAAGCAATGGAGTACACTCTTTAAAGACAACCGAGCTCCTACCGAAGGGCTTAAACTAAGGTATATTCCACCAACCAGTAATTTTCTTGATTTTTCGGACCGTGTGCTACCTTCAATGGTGGATATCTTTGGCTACTGTCTGGTGGGCTTTTTTACCGGAACGTTTCCTGGTTTAAAGGCAACCTATAGCCTTGCAAATAAATGGGGAGTACAGTGTGAAATCAAACCACATGATAAGGGCTGGGTTGTTTTTAAATTCAAAAGCGAAGCTGATAGGACTAAAGTTATGCTTGAGGGGCCTTATACCCTCTATGGGAAGCTATTGGTTTTGAAGGTTCTGTCTGATGAGTTCTCCTTTGAAGATGAAGAGTTCTTGAAGGTGCCAATTTGGATTAAATTCCCTAAGCTCCCTATGAGGCTGTGGAATGAGGATACTATTAGCGAAGTTGCTTCTATGGTTGGAGTTCCACTCACCACGGATAGGATAACGCTTGAAAAGGCAAACCACAACTTCGCTAGAGTATTGATCGAAGTGGACGTGACAAAGCCACCTCCCCTCTCATTTCCAATCAAGATGGCGTCAGGAAGGACTTTTGAGCAGCGAGTTCTCTATGAAACGTTTCCGAACTACTGTTTCCATTGCAAACAATACGGACACCATCCTTTCATTTGCAAGAAACTAGCAGCAAAAGAAAAACCTGAAACCAATGAACCAGATAATAATGAGGCTATTTTAATAGCTAGGGAACCCACCACGAAGGCTATTGAGACTACGAATACCATTGTGGTGCAGGATATTGTGGACCCGGAAGGGGAATTCGTGGAAGTTCGTAGGCAGAAAGGAAAAAAGATTGCAAAGCTGATGACACCTTCCGCTGCTGCTGCTGTTTTACAAGCTGCAACTGAGCCAGAAACTGCTACTGCAATTCCTGTTGCACCTGTTTTACAACCTGCAGTTGGGCCAGAAACTACTGCAGTTTCCCAGGCTGCACCTGCTGCTGCTAAGACTTCACCTGCACCTGCTGCACTTGCTGCTGCAATTCCTGCTGCTACTCTTGAGTCGCAACCTGCTGCTGGGGTGGACAAACTTGACAAACCTGCTGCTGCACTTCCTGAACCGGATCCTGCTACTGCCCATGAGCCGCAACCTGCTGCTGCTATTGATAAACCTGCTGCTACACCTTTTCCCCAGGTTGCTGCCAAGGTTACTGAAGAGCAGGTAGGTGGTGCGGATCCAAAGAGTGGTTGGAAACAGTTTGGCAATAGGATGCATGATCCAGACAGATACGAGGAGATTGAGATAACATCTAGAAATGGGAAGAAAAAAACTCTTTTATTTATGAAGCCCCCAAAAAGAAACTAAAGGAATGCTGGTTTTGTTTTGACTTTATTGTTGAAAGATGTTGTAAGAGGTTGCGGCCTACTTATGTTGATAGTTTTATTTAGGTTAGACTAGTCTAACTTAGATAGTTCAACTGATCATGAGTGATGCATTGTATAATGTTATTTTTTGGGTGGTTTATATATATACTTACATTTCATCCAAAAATAGAACTCGGTAAGATTTTTCCAACGAGATATTAAACGCTTTCAACGGCACAAAATTGAGCAAGATATGATCGCATCAAATTCGACACGAGTTCGGAATGAAATCAGAAATATTTGTGAATATATGGTTAATCTGTAACTTTTAATTACTGCATTGTAAATGAAGTTGGAACACTAGCTTTAGAGTTCCGATGTATCTTTCCAACGAGATATAATACGCTCCAACCGGATAAACACACAGCAAGATATGAGTGTCACAAATACTTAGCCTTATCTCTATGATTTAGCGTTTTCAGAGAAAATAGAGCAGCTTTAGCGAAAATACAGTGTATTTTAGTAAATATGCAATCATCCCTTGATATTTTGAAACCAGCGCCTGAAAACAAGTTTTAGAACTCGGTAAGATCATTCCAACGAAATATTAAACGCTTTCAACGGCACAAAATAGAGCAAGATATGATCACATCAAATTCTACACGAGTTCGGAGTGAAATCAGAAACATTTGTGAATATATGGTTAATATGTAACTTTTAATTAATGCATTGTAAATTAGGTTGGAACAATAGCTTTAGAGCTCCGATCTATCTTTCCAACGAGATATAATACGCTCCAAACGGATAAACACACAGCAAGATATGAGTGTCACAAATACTTAGCCTTATCTCTATGATTTAGCGTTTTCAGCGAAAATAGAGCACGTTTAGCGTAAATACAATGTTTTTTTTTTGGATTTTTTTAAAGAACGATTTTATTCATAAAAAAAAAAGGTGCAGGGCATGAAGAGAAATAAAATGAAAGATACAGAGAGTAAAAGAGAATATAAAAAACTAAAACTAGACCCAACTTAACCTTTACAGGAAACCATAGCGTAAATACAATGTATTTTAGTAATTAGGCAATCATCCCTTGATATTTAATTAAGCTATTGTTCCAACTTCATTTACAATGCATTAATTAAAAGTTACAGATTAACCATATATTCACAAATGTTTCTTATTTCACTCCGAACTCGTGTAGAATGTGAGGCGATCACATATTGCTCTATTTTGTGCCGTTGAAAGCGTTTAATATCTCGTTGGAAAGATCTTACCGAGTTCTAAAACTTGTCTTCAGGCGCGGGTTTCAAAGTATCAAGGGTTGATTGCCTAATTACTGAAATACACTGTATTTACGCTAAAAGTGCTCTATTTTCGCTGAAAACGCTAAATCATAGAAATAAGGCTAAGTATTTGTGACACTCATATCTTGCTGTGTGTATATCCATTTGGAGCGTATTTTATCTCGTTGGAAAGATAGATCGGAGATATAAAGCTATTGTTCAACTTCATTTACAATGCATTAAATAAAAGTTACAGATTAACCATATATTCACAAATGTTTCTGATTTCGCTCCGAACTCGTGTAGAATTTGATGCGATCATATCTTGCTCTATTTTTTGCCGTTGAAAGCATTTAATATCTCGTTGGAAAGATCTTACCGAGTTCTAAAACTTGTCTTCAGGCGCTGATTTCAAAATATCAAGGGATGATTTCCTAATTACTAAAATACACTGTATTTACGCTAAAAGTGCTCTATTTTTTATGAAAACGCTAAATCATAGAGATAAGGCTAAGTATTTGTGACACTCATATCTTGCTGTGTGTTTATCCATTTGGATCATATTATATCTAGTTGGAAAGATAGATCGGAGCTCTAAAACTATTGTTCCAACTTCATTTACAATGAATTAATTAAAAGTTACAGATTAACCATATATTCACAAATGTTTCTGATTTCACTCCGAACTCGTGTAGAATTTGATGCGATCATATCTTGCTCTATTTTGTGTCGCTGAAAGCGTTTAATATCTCGTTGGAAAGATCTTACCGAGTTCTAGAACTTGTGTTCAGGCTCTGGTTTTAAAATATCAAGGGATCATTGCCTAATTACTAAAACTCACTGTATTTTCTCTAAAAGTGCTCTATTTTCGCTGAAAACGCTAAATCATAGGGATAAGGCTAAGTATTTGTGTCACTCATATCTTGCTGTGTGTTTATCCGTTTGGATCGTATTATATCTCGTTGGAAAGATAGATCGGAGCTCTAAAGCTATTGTTCCAACTTCATTTACAATGCATTAATTAAAAGTTACAGATTAACCATATATTCACAAATGTTTCTGATTTCACCCCGAACTCGTGTAGAATTTGATGCGATCATATCTTGCTCTACGTTGTGCCGTTGAAAGAGTTTAATATCTCGTTGAAAAGATATTACCGAGTTCTAAAACTTTTCTTCAGGCGCTGGTTTCAAAAAATCAAGGGATTATTGCGTATTTACTAAAATACACTGTATTTACGCTAAAGGTGCTCAATTTTAGCTGAACACGCTAAATCATAGAGATAAGGCAAAGTATTTGTGACACTCATATCCTGCTGTGTGTTTATCCGTTTGGGGCGTATTATATCTCGTTGGAAAGATAGATCGGAGCTCTAAAGCTATTGTTCCAACTTCATTTACAATGCATTAATTAAAAGTTACAGTTTAACCCTTTATAAACAAATGTTTCTGATTTCACTCCGAACTCGTGTAGAATTTGATGCGATCATATCTTGCTCTATGTTGTGCCATTGAAAGCGTTTAATGTGCCGTTGAGAGCGTTTAATATCTCGTTGCAACGTTCTTACCTATTTCTAAAAAGTGTCTTCTGGCGCTGGTTTCAAAATATAGGGGGATGATTGCTTAATTACTAAAATACACTGAATTTACCCTAAAAGTGCTCTCTTTTCGTTGAAAACGCTAAATCATAGAGATAAGGCTAAGTATTTGTGACACTCATATCTTGCTGTGTGTTTATCCGTTTGGAGCGTATTATATCTCGTTGGAAAGATAGATCGGAGCTCTAAAGCTATTGTTTCAACTTCATTTACAATGCATTAATTAAAAGTTACAGATTAACCATATATTCAAAAATGTTTCTGATTTCACTCCGAACTCGTGTAGAATTTGATGTGATCATATCTTGCTCTATTTTGTGCCGTTCAAAGCGTTTTTATATCTCGTTGGAAACAGCATACCGAGTTCTAAAACTTGTCTTCAGGTGCTGGTTTCAATTTTTTGGATGAACAGTAAGTATATATTGAAGTAACCATCCAAAGAGTTTAAACTGTACAAGCAAAAAGGTGGCCAAAATTTTAGGCTATCCAAAGATTGGATAACCCATCACCTCCAAAAACAAAACCAGAGAGGCTGGTTAGCACTCTATGCAAAGCCGATCACAAAAACAAGGTGATGGGCTAGTCAACGTCAAAAAACCACCAGTTCATGTGGATAGATGCTATACAAAACTTTATAGACAATATACTTGATCCGAGCAAAAACGTCTTCAACTTTGGGGGAAGTACCATCAAACTTGATGGCATTTCTAGTCCTCCAAATGTGATAAACCGAGAAGCAAAATGTAATCCTTGTCGCTTTAGCTTTAATGGTGGCTCCACTTCTCTCCTTCTTAATCCATTTGACCGAGCTTGAAAGTGTGCCCATAAGCCTCGGCATGTCCATCCAATTCTTCACCAAGCTCCAAATTTTTCCTGAAAAGGGGCATTCAAAGTATAGGTGTGAAGCCGTTTCCGGCCCACCCTTGCACATAACACAAATGTTAACTAAATCTAATCTATGAAGATTATCACATGTAGCTAACCTATTCCGGAATGCCAACCAAGTAGTAAAGGAATATTTAGGGGGAATATAGTCTTTCCAAATAAAGGACATCCACCTACGGGTAGAGGCCTTAATTCTAAGTAAATCATAGACTTTTGAGGATACAAGTTTACCATTAGCTTGAAAGGAGTTCAAACAGCGAATGGTGTCAGCCACATCCTCGAATTTGGAGATGATCTCATCACGTACCATGGCAAATTTCTTCATTAATTGTGAATCTCTATGGTGTGGGACAAAATCCCACACACTTCGGCCATTAAGATACACACTATGAACCCACTTAACCCATAGAGTATCCTTTTTAAGATGAATGTCCCAAAAACTTTTAGCAAGCAAAACTGAATTCCAGATTTTGGTATCATGTATTCCAAGGCCACCCTCATGTTTAGGGAGACATACATCAGCCCAAGATACTCTAGAGTATTTACAACCCCATAGGAAGATACGGCACATAGCTGTTATTCTATCAAGTATTACCTTCGGGATAGGAAACATTTGTAACCAAAAAGAGTGCACACCCTGTATAACGGCTTTAATGAGTTCAACTCTACCAGCATAGGAGAGGGTCTTGAGATTCCATGCGCTAATATAGGTGGAAATGGACTCTAATAGTGGGGCAAAGTGTGTCACAGATATCTTAAGGGGAGCAAGAGGAACCCCAAGATATTTAACAGGAAAAGATCCTGCTTTAAAATCCACCAAACTCAAGATGTTATCAAGCTCATATATAGCCATTCCCCCTAAGAAGATGTTGGATTTATCATATTGACCCGAAGGCCAGATATGTTACCAAACTCTTCTAAGGAGTCAATGAGAATTTTAATAGATGGATAGTCACCTCTCGAAAAAAGCATCAAGTCATCAGCATAAGCAATATGTGAGATTTTCAAACTGCCACACTTAGGATGGAATTTGAAAGGAGCTTCACGGGTTTTCACATTCAATAATCTAGACAAATATTCCAAACGAAGAGCAAATAAAAGAGGGGACATAGGATCACCTTGTCTAAGGCCCCTTTTACCAATAAAATGCCCATGATGAACCCCATTTATAGAAATAGAATAAGAAGGTGTGGTAACACACTCCATGATCCAATGAATAAACTTGCAAGGAAAGCCAATATGTAAAAGCATGTTATAAAGGAAGTCCCATGAAATGGTATCATAGGCCTTCCGAAGGTCAACTTTGATCATACAACGTGGTGAAAAATGTTTCCTAGCATATCCTCTAACCAATTCTTGAGCAATAAACACATTATCAATCATGAACCTACCATCAACAAAAGCCGCCTGGGCAGGGTCAATCAAATTAGGTAGGCAAGGAATTAATCTCTTAGCTAGGATCTTGGTAATAACCTTATAGATAACATTGGTGCATGAAATAGGTCTAAAATCTGAAGCTGTGGGTGAGTGTGTGGTCTTAGGAATCAAAGCAATGAGTGTATGGTTGAGTTGTTTAAGTAGCTTACCAGATCCAAAGAAGCCCTTGACGGCTAGTATAAATTCATGACCAACAAGGTGCCAATTGTGCTTGAAAAAGGCCGAGGTATAACCATCAGGGCCAGGTGCTTTGTTATCACCAATATCAAAGAGGGCCTCTTTAATCTCCAAATCAGTTATTGGAGTAACTAAGCCCTCAACAGCATCCAATGGCAGAATGTTACCCGAAGTAACAATGCTAGGATCTAACCCCGTGGTAGGATAGTGTGTGCCAAATAGCTTAGTGTAAAACTCAACAAATTCCATAGCAACTTGGTCAATTGAAGTGGTAGAATCACCATTGGGAAGTTTAAGGGCCGTAATGGTGTTTCTAGCCAGATTCTTCTTGACAATTGAATGGAAATACTTAGTACACTTATCACCTTGGATGAGATGTGTAGCTTTGGCTTTTTGTCTATAAAAATCTTCCTCGGCCGACTTAAGGTTAAGGAGTTTCTTTTTAATCAGTTCAACCTCATTCCTAATGGTAACATCAAGAGGAGCATGCATAGACAACCCAAGGACCCATTTATACTCCTTTTTTGTTTCCTTAACCTTCTCCGAGATATGACCAAAATTCAATTTATTTAGTTCTTTAAGAGGTCTTTTTAAGGTTCTCAATTTTTGGGCAAGGATGAACTGAGAGCTTCCATGAACCACTTTACCCCAATGATTGGTAAGGATGGTGTTGAAAGTCTCATGTTTAAGCCACATATTGTAAAACTTGAAAGGTTTAGTGCCTTTGAACTGGTTTTGACCAATAGAAATAAGAGAGGCAACATGATCAAAGTCTGCTTCCATATCACAAAAATGAGTTTTACAAGAAACACCATTCATACTCCAACTAGGATTCATAAGCACTCTATCAAGCTTAGCCCAAAGGGATCCTCTATTCCAAGTAAGGAACTCACCCGTGGAAGGAGTGTCAACAAGATTAGTTTGAATTTTAAAGTCATTTAGGTCTTGGATAAGATAAGCCGATGGAGGGGTGGGACCCACCCTCTCATTTGGGCTACCAACGCAGTTGAAATCTCCCATTACAAGCCAAGGGCTAGTAATGTTAGGTTCCAAATTAGCCACATGGTTCCAAAGTAAGCTTCTCTCCAAAACCGTGTAAAGGGCATAGACAAATGTAACAAAAAATTGTACTTGAGTAGTTTTGCACTTAATTTCACAATGGACATGTTGTTTTTCAATTTCAAGGATATTAACCTGTACAAAATTAGGGTCCCAAAGTATGGCCATGCGCCCACCCTCAATAAGGTCAAAGTTTGTAGAAGATAACCATGAAGGCAGCCTATTTTTGGAAAATCTATCAAAATTAGAAGAAGTCATTTTTGTTTCAAGTAAACAACATACACGAACATAATTAGAAAGCATAAAATTAACTACAGAGTTTTGTTTAGAGACCTTATTAAGGCCTCGGACATTCCATGCTGCTAAAAACATAAAAAGGATTAGAAAGATCTCCCCTTTTTGGCCCTTTTGGCCTCATTCTCCACTGTTTTGCCCCTTGGTTTGTACCTAGAAAGAAAAAGGAAATCATATATATATTGAACAAAGAAAGAAGTGAAATCATACCCCTCCTCGTTAGGAATGACTCCGGGCAGATTTTTAAGGCAAAGAGTAGTGAAGTTCAGCCCCATGGTTTGGCCATCTTGTGTTACATTCAAGTAGTTGTCCAATCTTGTCATCCCCTCCTTGACTTCATCAACATGCGAGACATGGATGCATGGCCGATTGTCTTGGTCCACCCCAAGTTTTGTAATAATGTCATCAAGATATGCATCTCTAATATCATAGATCACACGGCTTTTTGTAAGATCCATCTTCTTTGGGTTCTTCACTTTGCAAGCATTTCCCCTTGGGCACCCATCTTCGAAGAATCTACATAAGAAATGTCTATAAACACTCCTCATGAAGACCGAGCCATAAGCATAGCCCTCCTTGGTGTGTGTAATTTCGGGGAGACCTTCCAAGCAATCCTTGGTAAAGAACATACTGGGTTCATTCTTATTGACCACCTTAAGGTTGTGGTCAATCTTGATTATGGAAGCTTCCTTGTCCATTTCGTCAATTTGTTTCACCTTAATAGTAGGTGTAAGGTACTCATCCGGATCCATATCAAAGATCACCTCATCTTGGTATACATCATGAAAGTTCCTAACCACCCGAGAGGTTTGCAAATCAGTTTGGTCATCTTGGAGTGAAGATGTGGTTGTCTCCCCTCTTCTTGGTTTCTTTTTGCAATTCTTGGAGAACCGTATCTTCTTGAAGAAAGGATGATCAATTTTTGGGACATCATAATCATTGACAAGCTTCTCTTTTCCTTTATCATGTTCAATACCAATGTTAGTCACGGGCTCTTCAATTGTTGTATTGGCTCCCACATCAACTTCCTCCTCCTCGGTCTCAAGCCCATTTTTCTTCCTTGCAATCTCCATTTCTTCTTTTTCAATTTGGGCAATAACCTTGCAAGTGAAAGCATGGTGACCGAAACACTTGCAATGAAAGCAATAGTTTGGAAAGGTTTCGTACCTCACCCTTTGTTTGTGTAGCCTCCCATTTGGTAGCCGAATAGGGATCAAGAGAGGGGGTGTAACACCCCGGGGCCCCACACGGACCCGAGGTAGTTACTCTAGACCTCTAGTACTGTCCCCACAAACCACCACGAGCCTTTACCGCGCACTTTGTCCTCACTCATGCGCGCCCTGAGAAACTTCCCAGGGGGTCACCCATCCCAAGACTACTCCTGTGCAAGCACGCTTAACTTTGGAGTTCTTGGGTGATGAGCTCCCTTAAAAGGAGATGCACCTCTGTTGGTATGAGTAGTACTATTAATCCGTTTAAATTAAATATCAAGTATTACAATCACCCCCACTTAGGAACGCAACGTCCTCGTTGCGCCCATAAACCAATCTCAATCAAATCCCAAAATCTTTACCCCCGCTAAGTGCCTGCCCGATATCCTACGGATCAGCACACTGTCGCAGGGTTGCTCTGATACCACCTGTAACACCCCGAGGCTCCACACGGACCCGAGGTAGTTACTCTAGACCTCTAGTACTGTCCCCACAAACCACCACGAGCCTTTACCGCGCACTTTGTCCTCACTCATGCGCGCCCTGAGAAACTTCCCAGGGGGTCACCCATCCCAAGACTACTCCCGTGCAAGCACGCTTAACTTTGGAGTTCTTGGGTGATGAGCTCCCTTAAAAGGAGATGCACCTCTGTTGGTATGAGTAGTACTATTAATCCGTTTAAATAAAATATCAAGTATTACAGGGGGGGCCTTGGAAGCATCCACCTCTATTAGAACTCGTGCAAAAGAGGACCTTGCTTTTTCAAGAGTGACCCTATCCGTGGTCAATGGAACTCCAACTCTAGAGGCAACTTCACTTATGATTTCCTCCTCCCAAATTCTCATTGGTAGGTGAGGAAATTGCACTCAAATGGGAACTTTCAAGAATTCTTCATCATCAATGGAAAAGTCCTCGGAAAGAGGTTTTAGATGGAAGGTTTTCCCAAACAAGGAGTAGGGGCCTTCCATAAGAACTTTTGATCGATCCTCATCATTTTGGAACTTGAATATGACCCAACCCTTGTCATGAGACCTCACTCTACATGGCACACCCCATTTTTGGGTCATAGCATGGATGTTTTTCAACCCGGGGAACCTCCCATCAAAGTAGGCAACAAGACAATGTCCCCAAATTTGCACCATGGAAGATAGGTTCCGGGTAGTAAGATCCATGATGTCTCCTTTAGGCTCGATATAGTGTAGTTTCATGCCTTTGTCCGGTTGCCTATTATCCTTAAAGAGTGAGACAAAGGAAGGCTTAGTCCCGGGCTGACCCCATTTTGATGTCCCATTAGCATTCGGATGAGATGCCGCGGCATGAGTAGTAGGTGCAAGAGTAGATGCCGCGGCATGAGAAGTAGGTGCCTCATCAATTGGTGTAGTAGGTGCCGCGGTAATGGTGTTGACAATTGCTATGCCCAGGTCAGGTTCGGCATTAGATACAACCAAGGAATCAATGTGTTCTTGGTCCAAGATATCATTCACTGAAGGGTCAACAATGTATTCTCGTTCTTCTCCAACACTTATAGTTTCAATTGAGTCAATTGAACCATCAATTGAAATATTATCTTCCATTCCATCAATAACCTCGGTCACACTTGCATTATCAACAATACCATCAAAAGTGTTGGGAATTACCTCGGTTTGCAAAGAATCCGAAGTAGGAGATATTGTAGCATCTTTGGAACTAGTTGTCGTAGTTGGTTGTTGTTGTGCGAGTTCCTAGACCGCCTCATCTATTTCCTTCCCTTGGGCTTTGGCCTTAAGCCGAGAAGAGGCCTTCGAGGGGAGAGGAGTTGCTTTCTTCTTTTTGGTGACCATGGCTAGAAGAAGGGGAAGCTAGAAGGCAGCAACCCCCTCAAAAGAAAACATGAGCTTAAAATCCGTACCAATGGAGTTTGTGACCGTTGGGGAAGATGACGAAAAACCAAAGTTTCTTGATGATGAAAAAGATTGTAGAAAGTTAATCCCCACTCCTAGGAGAAGCTAGAACCACCTCCAAATCCAAGTTTGAGCAAGAGGAGCGACGTGTGGAGGCGTTGACCTTCTTCGGTGAACAGTGTTAGCGATGAAGAGAAAGTTCGTTCTTAGCTCAAAACTCCCAAAAACAAGCTCAAACTCCGGGAATAATACAACCAAGAGAAGGGTGGAGGTATTATGGCCGGAATCCAAGCTCAAACCAAGAGAATCGAACGGAAAATGGTGAAATCCGTGAGAAGAAGAGGCTAAACCGCATAAGGTTTAGGGAGAGAAGCTCTCAACTCCTTCAACGGAAATTCAGGCGCTGGTTTCAAAATATCAAGGGGTGATTGCCACATTACTAAAATACACTGTATTTACGCTAAACATGCTCTATTCTCGCTGAAAACGCTAAATCATAGAGATAAGGCTAATTATTTGTGACACTCATATCTTGCTGTGTGTTTATCCGTTTGGAGCGTATTATATCTCGTAGGAAAGATAGATCGGAGCTCTAAAGCTATTGTTCCAACTTCATTTACAATGCATTAATTAAAAGTTACAGATTAACCATATATTCACAAATGTTTCTGATTTCACTCCGAACTCGTGTAGAATTTGATGCGATCATATCTTGCTCTATTTTGTGCCGTTGAAAGCGTTTAATATCTCGTTGGAAAGATCATACCATGTTCTAAAACTTGTCTTCAGGCGCTGGTTTCAAAATATCAAGGGATGATTGCCTAATTACTAAAATACACTGAATTTACGCTAAAAGTGCTCTATTTTCTCTGAAAACGCTAAATCATAGAGATAAGGCTAAGTATTTGTGACAATCATATCTTGCTGTGTGTTTATCC